GGGGTGGGTGGGAGAATGTATAGTGATTGATAAGATGGATATTGAAATTTTATGTTATAGGTGACAATGGAGGGAGAATCATTCCACAAGTCATGTTTCAAATGTGCTCATGGAGGGTGTCCACTTACACATGCAACATATGCATCACTTGATGGAATCCTCTATTGCAAACATCATTTTGCACAACTCTTCATGGAGAAAGGCACTTATCAACATGTCCTTGAAGCTGCAAATAATAAGAAGAATGCTGATCAAGCAGCAGCTAATGAAGTAGTTGAAAATGAGGCTACAACAACAGAAGAGCAACCAGAAAAGGAACCTCATGAGGAAGAGTCACAAGAATAACCCTAAGATATTGGATTATTGATCAATTGAGTTTTTTTTTATATAATTAAAAATAATCCAAATTTGTTTGTATGTTTCTGATCAGTAAATAAAGCTTTTCCTTTTCTTTTTGTGATCAATAGATAAACCCTCTTATTGTAATCAAATTACTTTCCTGGATTTTTATTCTGACCTTTCTTTTAATTTTGAGCTTGTAAACATGTTAAGAAGATACGCACTATATAAATTTGATCATATTAGATAATAGCAATTTCAAATTATGTGTATGCATCCCACTATAAATAGTGCAGATTTCTTTGAGTTTAACTTTTATATATCGATAATACAAAAAGTCGATTACACTACAAAAAATGATAGATAAAGAGTGTAAAAGGATGCATGGCTACAACGAAAAGGCAAGTAAAAAAATATGAGCAAGTTGGGAGAGTAAAGTATGCATTAACTCTTGAACGAAGAGGGGGCAAACATATTGTACGGGGGATTTGGAACACTTAGGGAAGTGTCACAATGATTGTTATTGTAGGCGTATAAAGGTTGAGGAGGTGAAAGTTACTATTCATAGGTTGCGAAGGGGAAGAGTCATATAGAGACTAGACAAACGAAATTCCAGTGGATTATTGGAAGAGCTTAGGTGGGGCAGGCACAGAGTGAGTGACTGAGTTGTTTAATATTGTTTTCAAGATGACAAAGTTGCTTGAAGCATATAGAGATGGAGTACGATGATTCCAGTGTACACAAACAAGGGTGATATTCAATATTGCAACAACTATATGGATATTGAGCTGCTAAGACACACTATGAAGGTATGTGAGAGAGTGGTGCAAATGATGGATCAATTTGGATTTATGCTAGGACACTTGACTACAGAGACCATTCATCTCGTAAGGAGATTAGTTTAGCATTATAGGGGCAGAAGAGGGACTTACATATGATATTCATTGACCTAGAAAAGGTTTGTGACAGTCCCCAATGAGGCTTTATAGAAGTGTTTGGGGACTATAGGTATACTTATGACGTACACTAGGTCGATTAAAGACATGTACGATGAAGTCAAGACCCGATTAAAGATAGTGGGAGGAGACTTAGAGCACTTTTCGTGTTGATAGAGTTGTTACTTCTATTTTTCTTGATGATGGATGTATTGATGCGAAAAATTCAAGGTGAGGTTCCATTGTATATGTTATTTGCGGATGATATAGTTTTAATTGAAGAAATTCGTGACAGAGTTGATGCTAAGTTGGAGGTTTTGAGATAGACTATGGAGTCTAAAATGTTCAAGTTGCGCATGATCAAGACTGAAAACTTAAAGTGCAAGTTTAGTGATATGACACATGAGACTAAGGCATCATTTGTTTTCATTAAAATTAAGACCTCTGAATCTGAATACACGTCTGAACATTAAGATTTGCATTAAGAGTTAGGTGTCTAGATCTTAATACACATCTGAATATTAAGATGGTGTCTCCAAATTTGAACACTGAATGATTATTGTTTGTTTTCAATATCTGAATGTGCATATGAAATCAAACATTATATTAATAAAATGTTATAAAAAATTCATTTCAACAAAAATATTACTTTTTGATTAAAAAATATCATACTCATCAAGCATAACATTAAAAAAATCACGAATAAAAAGTATTTTGTTGGCACACTATAATATCAAAAAGTTCAACAAGTATGATAAATACTAGTTGAAAAATGATAAATAAGGTATCACATTATCACCACCTAACATATATTTTAGCTAATTAGAAAAACTAAAGAATTCTTATCTTTTTTTCGATAACCTCAATCCAATTCTCTAACTTGTGAACCTCTAACGTCATTCATGCTTTTTTGTTAGTGGACACTTTCACAAATAATACTAACACATGTACTGTATAATGACTCTTCCTATCCAAATCCATCTAAATTTTCCATATATTCTTCAAATGTAGGTGCACTATTTTTTTTAATCGATAACTCCAGAGCAGTAATCATCTTCTCATCAATTCCAGTTCAGATGAATAAGTTTTTTTTCTTCCCCAAAACCTTTTTTTCCAACTGAAACGAAATATTGGGATGGATCCAATTCAGATGAATAAGTTTTTTTTCTTCCCCAAAACCTTTTTTTTCCAGCTGAAACTGAAGATTGGGATGGAGAATTATTAAGAGCTCCATTATTTTTGTCACCAACTAGTTCAACAACAATAATATATTAGTGTTATCTCACAAACAGATTTGATGATCAAAGAGTCTAAATAAAATTATTGGCCTAAGACAAAATTCTAATAAGAGACCTCAAATATGTATACATAGTTATTATTTTTAATTATGAATAGTATTTTTAATACTAGTTGAAAAATGATAAATAAGGTATCACATTATCACCACCTAACATATATTTTAGCTAATTAGAAAAACTAAAGAATTCTTATCTTTTTTTCGATAACCTCAATCCAATTCTCTAACTTGTGAACCTCTAACGTCATTCATGCTTTTTTGTAGTGGACACTTTCACAAAATATACTAACACATGTACTGTATAATGACTCTTCCTATCCAAATCCATCTAAATTTTCCATATATTCTTCAAATGTAGGTGCACTATTTTTTTAATCAATAACTCCAGAGCAGTAATCATCTTATCATCAATTTCCAATTCAGATAAATAAGTTTTTTGTCTTCCCCAAAACTTTTTTTCCAGCTGAAACTGAAGATTGGGATGGAGAATTATTAAGAGCTCCATTATTTTTGTCACCAACTAGTTCAACAACAATAATATATTAGTGTTATCTCACAAACAGATTTGATGATCAAAGAGTCTAAATAAAATTATTGGCCTAAGACAAAATTCTAATAAGAGACCTCAAATATGTATACATAGTTATTATTTTTAATTATGAATAGTATTTTTCACTCAAAAACCTTGATGAAAATCAATACACTAAAAATATTATTGCAACAAGTGTTCTTGAAACATCAATACATCATAAAAAATTATTAATATAAAAAAATACTTGTAAAGATTATGAAAACTTACCAGTTCAAGAGGAAAAAAAATGGTCTTTGATTGAAAAAAGAGAGGAAGAAAGTTTGTAATTGTGAGAGCAAAAGTCACGCAAAGACCGAGAGAGGCGATACCGTATTATTTTATAACGTATTAAATAAGTCTGAATGGTTTTAAGACTCTCCTGCATATCTGATCCATTCAGACCTTTTCAGGTCCGTTAATAGGCTTTTTGAAAAAGAAACAAATGGACTTAATGGGCTGAATCAGAATCATTCAAATTCAGACCTAAAAATCAAACACACTTAATGGACTGAATCTGAATCATTAAGATTCAGACCTCTATTAAGTGCAAACAAATGAGGCCTAACTTGGAAAGTAAGGTTTAATACACACATATCATCCAAATTAAAAGAGGGGTCATTTAAGTATCTAGGGTCTAGTATCAAGGAAAACAAGGAGATTGATGAGGATGTTACTCACTGTATGATGGATGAAATGGAGGCTCGTATCCAGAGTCTTGTGTGATAAAAGGGTGCCCTTAAACTTATAGTCAAGTTCTACAAACTAGTGGTTAGACCAACTATGTTGTATGGAACAAAATGTTGGCAGTCATAAACTCTCAAATTCAGAAAATGAAAGTGGTGGAGATGAGAATACTGCAATGGATATGTGGGTATACTAGGAGAGATATGATTAAAAATGAGTATATTTGAGTCAAAGTGGGAGTAACTTTGGTAAAAGACAAAATGCGAAAAGCGGGGTTGAGTGTCACGACCAAGACCGTCGTGATTGGCATCCACACTAACCCTCTGATGGGAGAACCATTACTACAACCCAAACTAACAAATTTTATGAAAACTAAGGCATTTAAAGTTACGGAAGTAGGTTTAAATGACTATATAATTAATACGGAGTCCCCATAAACTCCAAAAGTTCAACTAACATCTAACAACTAATGCAGAAATACCCTTAGAACCTGAAAGTCATTATACCAAAACTCTACTAACGACAAGTCTAAGAACAAGGGGTACAACCCCGAAACTAAACAAACACCTTAAACAAATAGTCTGAGTCCGAAAAGAGTGGACCGAAACAAGAAAAATCCATGGCAGCCTGAAAGAACTGGCTCGCCTTTGAATCCGATCACACTCAAAAGTCACCTAGCTGAGGTCTATCAATAGCCGCCTGAAGATGCCCTGTACTCAACAAAGAACAAGCAAGTACAATATCAGTACACAACCACGGTGTACTAGTAGGATCACACGACTATCCCAATAAGTGAAACACATGCAAGTAACCACAACATTATAAAACATGCATATACCTTCAATATTAGTCATATTTTCAGGATCAATGTAGCATCACACATTCTCAACAATACACATTGGTTATCAATTTAGAGCAACATATAGTCTTCCAATATCAATCATCATTAGATATGAACATAATCATCACAAGTAAATACACAACACAATTCAATGGTCCTCTCATGGAACCCACACCTAAACTGTTAGCGTACCGATACGTGGTATCTAATCCAATGTTTATGCCAGAACGTGGCAACTGATCCAATATTTATGCCGGAACGTGGCAACAGATCCCATGTTTATGCCGGAACGTGGCAATCGATCCAAGTTAGTGTGTCGAAACGTAACATTCGATCTATTCAACAAACCACAATCACAATCACAATGTATATTCTCACAATCATACAACAAGAGGTGATTCATGGCATACAATTATTCAATTATCCTCATTTACGATTAAGGTGATCTATAATGTAACATTCACATACATACATGTATTATAATGAGAAATTACAAACATATATCACACCAACATGAAATCACAACCATCACCTACCTCGAATCCAAGCTTGAATCCCCTAAGGCACTTGAATCTTCCCTTTCCGGATTCTTCCCGCTTGGACACTTGAATCTTCCTTTTCGGATTCTTCCCGCTTGTTCGTGGTCTAACAATATACAATTAATGCAAGGATCAACAATCAAATGTCTAATTATCCGAATTATAACAAACCCAATAACCCTAGACCAACCCAAGATCCTAATACCCAATTTATGACTTTTTCCACCATTAGTTTCAGATCAAAACCTTTCCCAGCAATAATTACCCACGAATTTACATTCTACGGATCAAAAAATGGATTCGAAGAGTGAAAACCTTACCTTTAGCCTTAAGAATGGTGGAAAACTGTCAAGAAAACCCCTGGGGTCATTCCTTAGCTCTCAAAGTCAAAAAATGTAGAATAAAACATTTTTGAGATTTTATTTTCGACTTAAGTCGTGTCTGTCCTGCTACAACGGGACCCATCCCGCTACAGCGGCATGCACGGAGATAGAATGCTGGAATTTGAATTTCAAGTCCCTATTTCACAACACACCTTCAACCCTTGACATTCAAAAACCACTTGTTCACGCTAAGATCATTTTCGGGAATTCTATTCGATCAAATTCAATTCCGTAAAGTCATACGGGTTTCTTAACGTCTTAGCTATCTATTCATGTAATAAAAATCATAATTAAATCACCCAGTTGTTACCAGATTTCCCTAGACTTAACTGGCTCTGATTTCTTCTAAATCTGGACTAGGTTAGGAAGTTTCAAGTTGCTACTAAAAGTTTTCTAACGCCAATTCTTTCTCCATTGGCTTTTCCCTAACGACAGAATCAGGTTGTTACATTGAGATGGTTCAATCATGTGATGAACAAATACAAGAATGTCAGTGCAAAGGTGTGAGAGGTTGATTATGAATATATATTGAGGAGAGTCAGAGGTAGATTAAAGAAGCTTGATAACAAGTAGAAAGTATTGGTGCATAACTTTAAAATGAAATCTACTTGGAGCCTAAGAAATATTTCAGAAAGTATATGGGATTTTTCCACATTAGTAACTTCTTTAAGTGCAAAATGTAAAAGGTAATTCAGTTGGGACCTCAGACACACTTCAAAAGGCTTAAGGGACCATTCTGTAGTACCCAAATACTTTCTAAACACTTCCAATCGCTTCCATTACTTTCTTCTTCATCTTCTTTCTTTTTTCTACCCCAATAGTTTCACTTAGAATCTGCGAAGAAGAATGGATCCCAGAATTGATAAACTGGTGAGAAGGACAACCATGGTGGCTACTGTTACTGCATCATATTTCCTTCTAACTGCAGATTATGGCACTGAACCAAGTGTTCTCGATCCGGTAAATCTCTAATTGCGTCCTTCAATGGCTTGGTGATATTTTAATCTTCAATTTAACATTTTTTGGTTCTTAGTTATTCATTTTGTGTCTGAGTAGTTGATCGTGAAATGTAATATTTAGTTTTTGAATATAAAAAATTAGGTACGCTGGTGTGTGAGGTTTAGGAATCAAAGACTTTTAACAAATAATGGATCAATTTGGCTTGATACTGCAACAAAAACTACATACCCGGTGTAATCTTACGAGTGGGATCTGGGGAGGTATGGTGTACACAAACCTAATCTCTACCTAGCAGAGATACAGATGATGTTTTTGATAGAACGTCCACTTAAATAAGACATTTCAAAGCAGTTTGAAAAAGAGAATACAGAAATGAAAACAGTAATAATAATGAAATAAAGCGAATCAGAGGGTAGTAGAGAGCTGAGAGCAATACTGACAATCAAATAATGTGATAATCGAAGCACAAAAAACACTAGTGATAACCAAAATTGAAGAACAAGAAACTATGAGAATAGTGCTAATGCTACTGGTAAGAAAGTACGTACAAGTATGACCCCCAAGCCTATCAATTCGGCTTGATACATAAAAAAATAAAACGCGTGATATATAAATAGATACTTAAACTTGGCCTCAACTGACAAGTAATCCCTTCAAGTATGAGTATGCACATCTAGACACCTCAACTTGTCTCCACTATGTTAGTTGAACATTCCCAACATATTAAATGATCATCTAGACACTTTCAAAATTTATGTGTCACATGTGCGTCGGGTGTCCACGAGACATAGTAGAAACTAATTGCAGTGTTTAGTTGTCAGTTGAGACCAAGCTGAGATGTCTAGATGCACACTTTCAAAGTTGGATTGCTTACTTGCCCGTTGAGGCTAAGTTTGAGTGTATGTTTATGTATTATGCCAAAAAAATTCCATTATGTGGAAATTGGAATTATCAAGTGGTAATAGTCACACATGTCTCCCAATACGATGCCTCTTTGTACACCCAGTTTCTTGTTGGTGAAGAATTCAGCCTTACAGGTTTCATTTAATCCTGCCAACTTTGGGGTTCTTTAGAGTTATTGCCTGCTCTTGAATCTTTCCCTCTAATCCCCTTTTTTCTTTGGTTCTTGAAGCATGTTAGAGTAGAAAATTGTGGTGGAGTGAGCAAATAGGTTGGTTTACTCTGGAACATAGAGTAGGAAATAGGTAATTAGAATATTGTAGTAGTACAACAACAACTACACCTCAATCCTAAGAAATTCAGGGTGGATATATGAATCCTCACTGGTCATGTCGTTCCATTTAAGCTTATATCAGTGCAATATTATAGAAAATCAAAGGTACTGCAAGTTATCTATATTTTCTACTGGCAGGTAAATTTCTTACACGGCTATAGAACTCCTAGAAAGCATAAAGACCTAATGGAAAGAGTACTAATGTGACTTAGGAACTTAGGATGTAAGAGGACTGCATACAATTGAATTAAATTTAACAAACAAGAACCTGGAAGGGCTATTTGACTGAGGTCACTATAAGTAGCATTGCATCAAAAGCTTGACAATTGCACTTGAAAAAAGACAGTACTAAATGCATCTTACTTTAACCAAATGAAGATATTCTAGGTGTTCTAATGGATTTTCAAGTTCAGTAAATTGAATTATACTTTTTACATAACTGAACCAGCATTTGCTCAAAATATTTTACTGTATAGGGTATGCCTTATTTATTCAGTCCTTTCTCATTCTATATTATCTGAACTTTATGGAGTTGTCACCTATCCATTTCCCAGTGTTTTGGGAAGCGAGAAGCGGAAAAAAGCGACTCGGGCTCGCTTCACAGAAGCGAGAAGCGAGAAGCGAAGCGCGCGCTTTTTTTAAGTAAAGCGATATTTAGTATAAAAATAAAAAAATATTAAATAACTGAATAGAGGTAATATATTCTTAGATTAAAAGTAAATAGATAGTCAATAATACTCATAAGTCATAACATATAAAGCAAAAAATCAAAAACATAATTAAATCACAAAAGAATCAAACTCCTATTCTTCAACAAGATCCTCAAACTCTTCAAGTGCCATAACCAAGGGTTCTACTTGGTCATCATCTTCTTCATCATCAGAAGGCTCATCAACAAGGTTTCGACTTGAACTGGAACCTCTAGCTCCTCTTTCATTGCCCCTTAAAGTACTTCTCCTAAAACTATAAATATTCTCCTCAACACCACTTGCCATAGAAACATCACCATAAGTGAGACTTTCTCCTTCATACACTTCTTCATCTTGGTGATCTTGGGGTGCTCCGGTTAACCATTCATTTGCCTCATCAATACTATCCAACAAAATTGGATCAATGGTATTACGAGCATTGTAACGACGCGCCAATGTTCTATTATATTTGATGAACACTAGATCATTGAGGCGTGTCAACTCAAGCCTATTTCTCTTTTTACTATGAATCTGCACATAGTAGAAAGGAATTAATAGGAGGACTTAGGATGATTAAGATACCTATTAATTTAGTAATAATGTAATGTAGTTTCTCACATGTTCATACACGCTCCAATTTCTCTCACAACCGGATGCGCTACAAGTTAAACTTTGCACTCTAATAGCAAACTGTTGCAAGTTTGGGACATTATGACCATATTGCATCCACCATTCAACTGTAGAAGAGTTATTTTAAAAGATGTGTAATAACTTAAAAGTTGAAGCTTTAAACACAATTAAAAGATGAAATTCTCACCTGGTGACCTTAAGGTTCTAGCTCTAATGGCTGATTCAATTCCAAGTAGGCCATCCGCTTTCATGTACACACCAAGCTCCTCCCCTATTTTGTCTTGCAAATTTTTATCTGGGATCATCCTCTCAACACATTTATGATATCCCTGCCACACTTCTTCGGTTAAAGTATTCATGTCATTATTTTTATAATAGATCCCTGGGTTCAAAATGTGTCCCGCTGCATGCAAAGGTTGATGAAGTTGATCTGTCCACCTTGCATCAATGATTTCAAAAACACTCTTATATTTCCTTGTATCATAATTGAATGCCTTTTCAATACTTTCTTTGGCCCTGTCCATGGCTTCATAAATGTAACCCATTGGTGGTTTTTTCTCCCCATCCACCATACGAAGTACATGAATTAAAGGACCACCAACTCTAAGTGCTTGAACAACGTCATTCCAAAAAAATGGACTAATGATGTGTCTTGCAACTTCTTTACCAAGAGTTTCCTTTGAATAGATACTCTCATTCCATTCAGTTGACATAAACAAAGTTCTCAAATTTTTCTTTTGCTTATAAAAACTATACAAAGTCAAAAAAGCTGTTGCGAATCTTGTCTTGGCGGGTTTTACCAAATTTCTTTGCTTTGTGTATCTCCTCATCATATTCAACAACAATGCCCTTTGATTGATATAAGCATGTACCTTAACTGCCTTACCAAAAACTGTTTAAAAAAATGGTAGTTAAAATGTAAAGAAACTAACATAAAGTTTTAAAAAGAAAATTAAATATCAAGACTCAAGTTCACCTTTAGAATACGGGGCTTCTTTGAAAATGTCACCAAACATCAAGTTGATACAGTGAGCAGCACAAGGAGTCCAGAAAATATGTGGGAACACTCCCTTCAACATGTTACCTGCTTTTTTGTTCTCACTTGCATTATCAGTCACAACTTGTACCACATTTTCCTTGCCTATCTTCATGATAGTCTTCTCAAACAAGTTAAACATCTTATTAGAATCGGTAGAAGAGTCACTAGCATCATAAGACATTGGTGCCTCACTTTGAGTTGCTCCTACACTGGGAAATTTCTAATAGCATAGTGTATTAGAAATTGTCATTTCCTGTAGTGAGAGTGAAGCGCTCTTTTTTCTAGTGTTATTATCAAGTAACCTTTCAAGAATTTACTTCGTTCTATGCATATTGGTCAGCCTTACAATAAGCACTTCCTTATGGCGTTTGTTTCTGCTCTTTAAAATGTCAGATTAAAAATGCAATATTGTCAGCAGAGCATTCTCTCAAAGAGTCAATCTTTGGACCAAAGAAGGGTGTTGAAGAACACGAGGCTGAGAAACCGCCCCCTAGCTCTTTGGAGAAACATCAAAAGTCTGGTGGCTAACTGGTTTTCCTCGTCCAATCATGCAGTCTGTAGGATTACAGCTTAATCCAACATCTGGAACTCTCATTTACTGAATGCTTTTTCTTCTAAAGGTGAATGTGAATATTTAGAATAGCTCTCCTTTAAGCTTGTTATTAATGTTGTAAATGTTATCTGGTACCAAAGCTTGTTTAATCTGATAGTTTTGCAAACCACATAGCAAGATCGGAAATATTAGTTGAAGTAGGCCTTTCGAGCCCTTCTGTATAACAACTTCCCATAAACCTGTTTTCAGGGTTGTGGTTCAGTAGTTAGAGAGCATGTGATGTGTGGATTAGATCAAAGGCAGAGGGGCAAACCCGTTTCCGAGTTTCAAATTCCTGCTAAATTGGTCCTCGATATTTGTTGTTATATCAAAATATGATTAAAAAACATATGAATGAAGTTAATGTGGAGGGTTATGGTGGAGTGATTAGTATTTATTTCTTAGATTAAAATAAAAAGTTCCGAGTCCAATCTTTGAATATGAGTTATCTTTGTTAGATTCTCTCCTGGTTTTCTTCATTGGATGAAACATCAAAAACAGTAGAAATGGATTGGTTAGTTCTTCATTGAAAACCATAACTTGGGGATATTACACAAAATAGGACACTTGGGTCAAGAAAAATAACAAAACCTAAAAGAAAAGTAGAAGGAAAATAAAAACTTTTCGGTTAATTAAACTATAAATAATGGGTAATATTAGCTATCAAGGAATGTGGTAGAGCTGTCAATATGGATCGATTCAGCCTAAACGGGTCTAGTCAATGTGGTGTTTTGGAATTTTATTATCACATCGACAGATCTTAAAAGAGGAAATTTCACAAACCTAATATATGCATTTATCCTAGTAACGAGTGCTTGTGTCTCATCTCTAACCAAAATTGATTTTGTCCTCACCAAATGTGAGAATGAAACAACGAAATTTAGTAATGAACCAAGTACTCACGTAAATAACCAAAAAGAATTTTTTTCTAAAATGTATAGTAGCCTCTCGAAGATAGATACTGATGTCATAGTATCAGTCCGTGAGACTTTACTTGACACTTGCTTTTGTACTCACAAGACTAGTGGATCTAGAGTTTTGATATCAAATTGTCACAATCCAAAATTGGGTCATGATGACACCTAAACAAATCCCCCTAGTAGATGAGCTGAATTCATTTCAAAGGACAAATGACGATGTAATTAAGTATGAAAGTAAAAGAACATCAACAAAATAGTTTAAAATCTAGGGAAATTCTCATAAAACAACACAACGATACAATACAAACCACACAAGATTTAGTGTCAAGTGTACAAGAGCGATCTACTAAAAGAAGCATCAAAACTGAACTATAAAGTTGTCTGGGTTAAGACATTAAAAGCAAGTAGATCACCACAACTTCGAATAAACACAACTCTGTAAGATCAAGAATCACACCGAAGGCAAAACTTGATCCTTATTAGAAAAGATGCAGGAAAGAGTACGGTGAGCCCAAACTACTAGCACTCAATAGGCATTATAGGTCGACAAAACTTGAATAGTTATTAATTATTATATTGCATAAAGAATGTTAAACTAATCATAAACACAGAAAAGTTTCAACAGTTCAATAACACAACAATAACAATAAGATACACGCAACGATATATGATATGCAATGTTACGCAATGATTATACCGATAAACTTCCTGTCGCGATCCAAACAATTATGAATGACATCCACTCACACCCCTCCCCCAATGGGAATGGGAGAACCAAATCTTACCAACTAAAGCATGCTAAAACTAAATCTTAAATCATTAATTAAAGCATTAGTGCAAAAAACAAAAGTTTTCACGCATGATACATAAAAAATGCAGAAATCTGAACTATTACATCTCCAAAATTCTTTTTTTGGTCTGACTTATTAAATAAATCAAGCTATACGATGTATTTAGCCCAAAGTGCTAAGCCCATTAAAAATTAGAAAAAACCTAAAACAAATAAAAGAAATCAAAAGGCAAATAAAGATCGAAAAAGAAATAGGAAAGTGGTAAGGATGAAGGTCCTTCTAGCTTCTGGTATCATCTTCTCCTTGGCCCCTCTTTCTTCAGTGAGCTAATGGAGCTCCAAATCGAGTTTGACCTCCCAGGGTGTGAAGCTTCTCCCATGATTGACAATTGACACCACTAACTCAGCATTGAAAGTGCAAGAGGGGGGTGAATTTTTTTTTTTTTTTGTGAGTAGACGACTTGTGAAGTTCCTAGTCGACTACTGTTTGCATAGAAATATAGTGAAAGATGGAAAGTGCTTAAATTAAACTTGACACAAAATATTTTTATACTGGTTGGAATCCAAAGATGGATCTTACGTCCAATTCCCTTGGGTTGCAAGAGTGTTCTCTTCTAGCCCTTGTAATCTTTGAAGTAAGTACAAGGATGAGTGTAATTTTCACTGTTTACACTCAAATTATTTTCACTCCTTTTTCTTTTGATACACAGTCTTACCAACAATATTTTTCTCTCCTCTCTTTTTTGTTTACACAGTAAAACTAGGTAATACAATGCTTGTTAAAGTAGAGTAGAGAATATGAGATGATTCAGACTCGTATATTTTTCCAATAGCAAATGAGTACTATTTTATTGTGTTTGAGACTTGAATTTTTCCTTTGAAGAGATGGCAACCCAAGAGATTTGATCCTTGGAAAAGAAGGCAGGGGATCCGTATTTTCCAAGAATAAAGTCAAGGCTATTCTTCAGTTTCCTTTCTTGATTGGGCCTTGATTCACTCCTGATCTCAACTTCCTTGACTTAGATATAGCCGTTGAGTTTTCCTTCTTTGGTTGTTCCTGATCTCAGCTTCCTTGATTTAGATATAGCCATTAAGTTTTCCTTCTTTGATTGTTCTTGATCTCAGCTTCCTTGATTTAGATATAGCTATTGAGTTTTCCTTCTTTGATTGTCTGAGATATAGCCTTTGAATTTTCCTTGTCTTGACTTCATAAATTGATTCTTGACTGAGATCAATTTATTTTGACCGTTGTATCTTCTTCCTTAATTGATGAGCTTTGTTTGGGAATCTCCACTTTATCCGTTTGAATGCTTGATTGAGTCTTTTTCTGATATTATTCTTGATTCTTTCCTTTTTGATGTTGTAATTGACATGTAAGAGTAAATTGTTTATCATTAAAACCTTGCGCTAACAAGCATCAGTGGGTGAGAAAGGATCTTTGCAAGTTTGATTCGATGTGTATCTCTGAGTCGATCTATTCTTTTTGACAAGGTTGCTGCTAATTTTTCTCCCTTTGCAGGTCTCTAGGTGAACGAACACTCAGATGAAAGATTCTTCTATCAACAAGTTTAAGTTATATCTTTTTTCTTAGATCTATCCCCGATGGGTTGATGTCGCGATTCAAAATACACCCTAATTGTGACATGATGAATAAGAATCTGAAAGATCCTAAACAAACCACTTGACATAAGCATGATGTAAAAGAATTACATCAAGATAGAATAAGCAATATAAGTCTCAATCATACAAGAAATCTAAACATAAGCGCATATAATACGAAATTGTGTCTGACATAGCCGTTAGAATAGTATAGTTAACCAACTTCATAAGATATATTATATTATTATGCTCACATATAATGTAGTTCATTTTATTTTACCTAATTTAGAGTGTTTTGTTAATCAAAACCAACATAATTTTAGTTTTTGATATTAACCACAAATTTTGTTCACTACATTTAATTTTTCTCCTTAATTGTTAATGTGCTTGTGAGTTATCATGTTTCTCTTTGTTATGTTATGCTTTCAAATAAAGAGCAAATAAAGTTTTGTAGTTATAAGGATTCGATATGGGGGTGGAAGAGTAATATCAATACATTCAATAGACGACTGCGATTGGAAGTTGTTTAATGAGCTTGGAGGGCTACGATGCTGCCAGCTCAGGCGAGGTGGTTATAAGTCTAACAACCATGAGAGAAGAAGGCTAACGAATCAATTGGTATTTCTCTCGTTTCTTGTCACGCCTCAAATCCCATTAAGACGGACAGGCACTCGATGCCCTAAAGGCCCGAGAGAACCAACATGTAACCTGTTTACTATGCATGTAACTATGACAATTTTTGTGACAAGTTAATATAGGATGCAGTGATACTAATCGACATAAGTAGACCCAAATCTTATATACAAGACTTGGCCGTTGAGACCACAACTTGTTAAGATGCAGCTGGACCATATACATAAGTCTACAAAGCCTCTAAAAGATAGAAAACCTTAGAGTAGGTCGGGACAGACCCCGCCTTACCCTTAACTACGATACAATACCAAAATGAATCTACCAAGGGCTCAGTAAAGCTCCGAAGCAACGTGGAGCTTACCAAAAGTAGCTGAGTGTCGTATGCTCCTATTGAGGAGGTCTACTAGCGGGAGTACCTGTGCCTGCAACATGAAATGCAGCGTCCCCCGCGAGGGACGTCAGTACGAGAAAATGTACTGAATATGTAAGGCAATAACATATATAAAATAAGAGTTCGAATGAAACCAAGTATCAATACATGTGTGCGTAAATCAGAACAGAAGACCACCTTTGTTAAATCTTGTGGGATCATGTATGTTACATTCTTATCTTTACCTTTCTATGTGTTATGATCTTTATAAGGCATCTGATACGAATGACTAGCTGATCAGTGGTAGAAGAGGATGACCCATGCTAGGCCTTTTAACCCCTGGGATGCGGTCCTCAAAATTACACAAATCGGGATCGGCCCATGCTAGGCTTTCGCCCCTGAGCTGCCACCCATGCTTATACAAATTGCTTCACTTAGATTCTGTAATCTTTGAGATTGTTGTTTTGGTGGTCATAATCATTTTTGAGATTTGGAAATACGGAACAGTAGTAGAAGACATGAAAATAATACTTTACGGCAGTAGCTACAATATAAGGAGCTATGGAACGTTAATACATTACTTGAGAGCTTAAATCACACAAATGACTCCAATTGACTATAGAGTACCGAATGTAAAATTACGTAATTCTATACACTTAGGGGGGTTAGCTATTTGGATATCGTATGTTGCCACTATGTTTCCTATACTAGGAATAGAACTTAGGAAATTCACTTGTTGATATCCATCGTAAGGATCAGATTTCATGCCAAGGAATATCGAATCGAATAGCCCTACATACCTTATTTTCGGACCAATCCAATTGTCACGATTCAGCCTCCCTTCTTGGGTGCTAATCTACAATATAAATCATGATTAAGCTGACGTTAGCATCTAATCACTTTAAGGCCCTATAAAACAGTAGCTAAACACTCGACGGAAAGTAGGCCCATACAACCCTTGCACAATGGTGAACCACCACCCCTTCCTTCTACACATTAATACAACTTCATACATCCTTTGCCAAGATACCCAAACAGCCCCCAACAACAATATACATAAGGCAGCCACTATCAATCCCTAAGAATTTTTCAGCATAAAAGGAGAATATTGACTCAAGGATTTGTCACCATCCATTAGTTCTTGATAAATACAAGCACAATTCTCCACCCCAAATCTGAATTTAAAGAGAAGCAAAAATGGGCAGTAGCCTTACCTTAGTGTTTGGGAATTTATCCTCTAAACTTGTACTTCAAGAACTGAAACTCTCCTTCAAACTTTTACTTGGAAAGGGGGCAATACTCAAGAACCCAAGGTGTTCTAGGGCTGCTAATTGAAGCCAAGAGAGACCAAGAGAGAACTTAAGAAATCTGAAAATTTTGCAAGGTAAAAATGAAGCAAAAGATCTGATCTTTATCCCTTTAAAAAGGAGGTGTAATGGCCGAATTTCTTGACTAATTTTGGCCATGTATTGTCAAGTAGGTGACCCACCTACTTGGTCCCACCTACTTGGCCTTATAACTTGGGCTTTTGGGAATTTCAACACTTGTTGGGCCCTACTCCGAATTATCCCTCTATTCTTGTCAATTTGGGCCATACTTAATGCAAGTAGGTGGTCCACCTATTTGGACTTTTCACTTGGGCCTTTTAGGGCTTAAGACTATTGGGCCTTGGCTGTCCATTTTTTCCCCTTATCCTTCTACTCAACTTGGGCCAAATTAATGCAAGTAGGTGGTAGTGCATTTGGCCCAATTACCACCTTACTACCTCTAGTTTAAATACTTCTATCGGAGTTAACTTGCAGTACACATGCTAAAATGTGCAAGGTGTTACATCTCCTTCCGGGCTAGTTTAAACCAACACTAATCATATAAGAAGTACGGTCACTCACCTATACTATAAGGCTATCTTTTGTCAAGTATCGCATGAATAGAACTAGCATATGAATAATACAGGTTGTTACATTTCTTCTCTCTTTCCAGATCTCTTTCTTCTTCTTCTTCTTCTCCCTCGGTCTAAATTCTTCTTCTTCTTATCTTCTTCTGCAGATATGAAGCTCATCTATGGAATCCCAGTAGAGTAGTTCAATTCAGCACTCGTATTTCTATTCTTAGTTGTAATAGTTTGAAGTTTTATTACTATAAATCAGAAAATTGTCCCAAAAAGGTTGTTGTTGATTTTATTCTAGTTTAGATCTTGACAATTGGTATCAGAGCCTAGGTTCTGCGACCTGTGCGTGAAGATCTATGATGGCGGATGGTACTAGATTCAAATCCATGGACGATCGACTGAATCGACATGAAGAAACGATTGAAAGGTTAGCTAATAGTAATCGTGACATCAGTGAAACACAGGTGGGAATCAGAGGAGCTTTAGAACAAATTGTGGAAAGGTTAACTGCATTGGAAATGAGACCAGTAGCTGCTGATCTGAACATTTCTCAAGGGGATGTCATTTTACCCATTCCAGGACAAGAACATAGGAATTTGAGGCACCAAGGAATTCTCATCCACCCTCCCAAGTGGGAATTTCCTAGTTTTGAAGGTCACCAGCCTAAGGTATGGCTCAGAAAGTGCGAAAGGTACTTTAATTTACATAGAACTGCTGACGACTTGAAGGTTGAAGTAGCAACACTCTATCTTAATGGAATGACTGAAACATGGTATAACTCTATGGTACTGAGTGTAGGGGTATTGACCTGGGTAGAGTTCAAAGAAGAATTATGTATTAGGTTTGGAGAAATTTTAATGGAGGATGTTGTGGAAGTCTTTAATAAGTTGAATCAAACTGGATCTGTAGATGAATATTTGGGAAGGTTTGAGGATCTCAAAGCAGAGATGTTGATAAGAAATCTGGCCTTGAATGAAGCTCATTTCCTGTCTAGTTTCATGGGAGGACTCAAAGAGGAGATTAAGTATGCTATTAAGATGTTTAAGCCCACTACCCTAGCTTTGCAATTGAACAAGCCAGGATGCAAGAGAAGGCCATAGAATCAGCTCTTAAAAAAGACAAAACTGATACTAGACCTATCAAGGCTCCTTTGGGTAGTTTTGTCCCAAAACCATCAGCTATGACTTCCACTAGACCAACCACTTACCGGTTGAGTCCAGAAGTTTACGAATATAGGAAGAACAACCATCTTTGTTTCAGATGTGGAGATAAGTATACTCCAGGGCATAAATGTAAGAATAGACAGTTGAATTGCATCAAGGGAATCACTGAAGATGGGCAAGCGGCTTGGGCAACACCTACTGAAACTAGTGAAATAATAGAGGAACAAGCCCTAACTGATGTGATAATTGAAGGGGAAATCCAACAGGAGATGCAAGAGGCTATTTGTCTGAGTGCCTTGTCTGGCAATCACAATGGGGTGAGTACCATTCTAGTGAAGGGAATAGCTAAGAATAGGAATCTAACTGTGATGGTTGATTCAGGAAGCACTCATAGCTTTATTGATTCACAAGCTGTGATGGAAACAGGTTATGTGGAAACTTATAGCTCTCCTATGAGAGTCACTGTTGCTGATGGTAACTATTTGTTATGTAATTCTACTTGTACGAGTTTCAGCTGGAAGATGGAAGGGAAATCATTCAGAGAAGATCTAAGGATTATCAAGTTGGGAGGGTGTGATATAGTCCTAGGGAATGACTGGATGAAAAAATACAACCCCACCAAGTTTGACCATAAGAAGAGGAGTGTCACTATTGAAAAAAATCCAATAAAGTGGTGTTGCATGCTATTACTGAAGAGGGAAGTATTCACATGATTAACAGTAGTACGATGGGAAAACTGATTAGGAAGGGTCAGACTTTGATGGCTCACTTGTTCATGGTCAGTATGGACACAACTACTGAGCAGGAAACCATTGAAGAACCAATAAAAGTAGTGCTGCAACAATTTGAAGATGTCTTTGCCGAACCTAAAGGTTTACCACCAGTGAGGAGTTTAGATCACTCAATTCTGTTGAAGCTGGGATCATTGCCTGTTAGCTTAAGGCCTTACAAGTACAATTACTATAAAAAAGAGGAGCTGGAGAAACAAGTGAAGGATATGTTGTCACAGGGTACTATTCAGCCCAGTCAGTCGCTTTTTTCGTCACCTGCATTGCTAGTGAAAAAGAAGTATGTGACTTTGAGGTTCTGTGTAGACTATAGAGGGTTGAATGAGGCTACATTGAAAGACAAGTATCCCATACCCATTGTGGATGACCTATTGGATGAGTTACATGGTTTAATGATATTTTCGAAGGTGGATTTAAGAGCTGGTTACCATCAGATTAGAATGAAATCTGATGATGTGTTTAAGACAGCATTCAGGACACATATGGGGCACTATGAGTTTCGAGTGATGCCATTTGGGCTTACTAATGCCCCAGCCAAATTCCAGGCTCTAATGAATAAGGTATTTCAACCTCTTCTCTGGAAGTTTGTGCTAGTTTTTTTTTATGATATCTTAATATATAGTCAGTCTCTTGCGGAACATGTGAAACATATTACTACTGTTTTTATGACATTGAGGACACATTCACTTTTTGCTAAGAGATCCAAATGCTCGTTTGGTCAATCCAAGGTTGAATATCTTGGCCATGTCATTAGTGCTCATGGGGTAGCTACTGATCCTGAAAAGGTAGCGGTTAAGGTGCAGTGGCCCAGACCCTCTTCCTTGAGAGCTTTGAGGGGATTCTTAGGGCTGACGGGATACTACAGGAAGTATGTAGCCAACTATGGTACAATATGTAGACCACTTACTGATCTCCTAAAAAAAGACAGTTTTAAGTGAAGTGATGAGGTTGAAACTGCTTTCTTGGCTCTGAAGGACGCTATGTCTAACACCCCAGTCCTTGCCCTACCTGATTATTCTCAAGAATTTGTTGTTGAAACAGATGCAAGTCACTTAGGAATTGGTGCGGTTCTCATTCAAAAAGGGAGGCTAGTGGCCTATTTCAGCAAAGTATTAGCTATGAAGCATAGGGGCAGGTCTATTTATGAGAAGGAGTACATGGCATTGCTTAGTGCTATAGACAAGTGGAGGCACTACTTACAGTATAGACACTTTGTGGTAAGAACTGATCACCACAACCTGAAATACTTGCTTGATCAGAGAGTTATTTCAGCTATCTAGCAAAAAGGGGCTTACCAAGTTGTTAGGCTTAGACTATGGCCTTTTCACGTTTCTCTTTGAGTGCATTTTCTATCTTAAAAATTTAACGTGTTTGTGAGTTATCATGTTTCTCACAATTTGGTAATAGACGTAATTTGTTCCGAATCTCCCCATAGACTTCCATGGATGTCTTAATAAAATTATTGTTCTGAAGCCATAGATTCCAATGGCATTTCTATAATGGAAGCTTTCAATGACAACTCAATAAAATTAGTGACCTAACTTTAAATTTTAACAAGATATATATATATATATATATATATAAACACAATATAATAATTTAGAATTGTCTTTTTTATTCTTAGATACTACTTGGTCTTATTGTAGTATATTGGTAAAAGACATAAAATATATAACTTCAAATAATAACATAATTATTTATAAAAAAGTAAGAATAGGTTCTAGTTAATAATATGTTAGATATTTGTTTGCAATACATTATCTTAGATGTTGTTGTAAAAACTTTATTTATTAATATGAAATAGTTTAATTCAAAGTTCTAAAATAATTCTTCTAAAAAAAAGTAGATAGCTTTTTTTTTAATATAAATTTTGTATCTTTTTTTTTTTAACAATCTTCACTATTATTACAAGTGTAAGTTTTTTTGTGCGTAAATTTTGTACCTTTTTTTTAGAGCAACTTTCACATATAGCAAACATAAAAGCCATATTTGTATGTTATAGCTATAGTTTGCATAATTGCGCTCCATAACAAATTTTATGTTTGCTATGGAGTTTTTGATTTGTATAATTCGCTACAAACATCCAATTTTATACAAATTGTTCAATTTTGTATTCATTTATACATTGTAATTTGTATAATAAGATCTGTATTTGTATAATTATAAGTGTATATGACGAAAATATATGTATTTGTATTTGTATATACACTTTTCTCTCGCTTTATACAAACACAAACACATTTTATACCGAAATGTATAAAATGACTAATTGTATACCGAATCAGATGACAAAAAAAGGGGTTGTTTGGTGCGAATTACAATTAAAATAAACTATGGCTATATCATTTAATTTAAATTAATAATTTGCTATTTCATACAATTTTCCCTTCTTTTTTTATCATCTCCACTATTATTTTAAGTAAAAATCTCGCCCCCCTCCCTCTCCCCCCCCCCTCTCTATATATATGATAAGTCATGAGATTTTGCTGTTATTTTGCACTCACTCCTTATACTTTTGGGGTTCTTTTTATGAAATTTTGAAGAAAAAACACACGGGAAAAAAAGAAAGTAGTTGAAAGTTCATCATATATATGAGACCGCATATCGAATGTTGCGACCACAAACTTCGTCAATTATTGGATCAATTACAATCATTAGTCATTAGTTCTAAATTCAATCAACATTACCCTTTTTTCCTCTAGAAATTTAGACTTTAAGTTGGACATTACACTTTTGAGTAAATTTTTAAATGTATTCTACGTAGGATTTGACTTCAACCTAATTGAATTCTATATATAATCAATGACCGTTTTATATCATTTCAAGATGTTATTTGTGTGTATCAAATTTTGATGTCATTGCTGGAGAATAGGGTTTAGAAATTACTATATAATATTTTAGATTTTACTTACGGCCTTTATTTCTCATGTAACAATAATTAACAATTGTAAAAATTTGGTCGGCTCTCCAAATTTTATCGATATCACATAAATTAGGACATTAGAATAACATATATTGAGCCTGTGTTGACACTGGCTCATATATCTAGTATTCATAATAATACACTACATATAATTCAACTTTAGTCACTTGTATATGTATATAAA